GCAATTTACCGTTTTTGCAAAAAAAAAAAAAAAATTGGGTCCACTTAATCATATATATCTCAAGAATTCCAAAACGGTTTGAAGCTTTTAAAAGGTAATAAAATTTTCTATAAGCTGTGCATACAACACTTTTTGCTAGGCCCTAAAGATTCAAAGATAACGAACAATCATTACCGATTTTTTCAATTTTTTTTGTAAAAATATAAAAAAAAATTGTACTTTGCGGGGAAGGATCTCGAAAACCTTTTATTTTTTTGCAGATTTTTTTTTCTCCCTAAGCTCTGTTATATTACAAAAAAAATAAGCTATCATCGAAGAAAATCGATGCAAAACTACGTAAGTTATAAGCGATCAAATAAAAATACCCAGGTTGCGCAATTTCAACGTATACCTCAAAACGTATGTATGGTATAAAGAAGAGTGAAATATCTAGCTATGCTCTGTTTCTATTGAGTTAAAAGTTCAATTTATGAATGAAATTACCCATATTTTTAACTTTTTTTTTATTTATTTATGTTTATACTATATTCTAACAATCTTTATCTTAATTTGATTTTACTATGTTGTCGAAATAATTATGTGTTCTACTTTGACGCTTATTCAGTTTAGGATCGGTTTCTCTTATGAGAAACCAGCAGTAATCACCCATCATTGCGACGTCCCAGAATCCTTGATATCGATTCTCAATTAATTTCATTTGCTGATGAAACCTTTCGCCATGTTCATCACTTTCGTCGCCAAGATTTGCCGGAAAAAAGCTCAAATGTGAGTGGAGAAAGTGAATTTTTAAAGACATATTTACGCCCATTTTCGCATAATTATTGATTAGGTCGTTCACTAACTGCTCGTAGTTAGGGCTTTCGTGTCTACCGAGAAAAGAAGCAACGACCTTATTGTTGTTATTGTTGATCAACTTTCTTATTTGTGGTCCAACAAAAATACCTTCCTTTATCTTGGCTTGAGAAATATCTGGAAAAACTGTTTTCAAATAGTCGAATGCTTCGCCTTCTTTGTCCAAAGCCTTAACAAAGTTTTTAATGAGACCGACCTTGATGTGTAAGGGTGGAAGTATGATTTTCTCTTTCTTGACAAGAGGGGTGTATTTGATGTTATTCACACCAACGGTAAACTCGACTCATTCCGGCCAATCCTTTCTGACGTAGTGGTCCTTACGAGCTCGGCTATCCCACTTGCAGAGGAAGCAGCAGTGCTTGGTGTAGCCACTTTGTAGACCGCATAGCATTGCAACGACTTTGAGATCAGAACATATTTTCCAATCATGCTCTTCATATTTGATAAATTTGAGTATTTTTTGCATTTCCTCGTAGGTTTCCTTTGTATTTACTGCATGTGCAATCGGGATAGAAGGCTTTTTGTTACCAATATGCAATAATACAGCCTTCAAACTCAGTTTATTGCCGTCTATGAACAATCGCCACTCTTTTGAATCATATGTTTGACCAAACTCTTTGAATAAACCAGGGATGTCGTTGCAGTAGCATATACTGTCTTTCTTGGTATAGTGTTTGGAAAATGGTTCGTGACGAGTTCTACTATATGTCACCTTAACATCGGATGACACAAATTTAAATTGTTGCATACGAGAAGTGTGGATCTCGGCCTTTTCCTTGGATAGTTCCAAATCTCTTATTCAATCATTAAGTTGTGCTTGTGGCAGAACGTTTCTTTCGTTTTCCATGCGAAATTCAGTACAACTTGATCCCCCGCACTCAGATGTTACTGTTGACAATGGAACTGGATCCGCAACTGCCGTTGAATGTAGTACTGGTAATGTCACTGTAGGTACGCTAGCATAGGTTACTCCTCTTGATCTTCCAACGCCAAGTACTTTTATTTGACAAATATAACACTCTATTGAATGGCAAGTAGGTTCTCTCCATATCATTGGTGTATCAAATTTTGTTTGTTGTCCTGATTCCCACTGAATCAATTCTACTCGACACGATGTACACAAAGTGTTCGGTGTCCATGGTTTTTCAGCATTTTTAGGCTCAGTTCCAAAATACTTGGAGTATAAAGTTTTGATATGATCTGAGAACACTCGTCGTCGCCTTATGATAGTATATTGGCCACACATGAAACAGAACATATCTGGATCCTTATTACACTCAAATTCTCGCGTCCTTTTACTCATTTTATTTTTTTTAATAAATCACGGTTTTGAAATTAGACTTATGAACTGAACTATCTCCGGCGAGCCTTGAAGATGTTATGAAGTTTCAAAGCGCATTAACTCATATTTATACTCGGAACAAGAATAAAATTGAAAAAATCAAATCTTACCTAGACAGAAAGGTTCCTTTTTATAACAAGCCGGGAAAAGAAAATACTACCTGTTTTATATGTAGGCTTTAAAAATTTTCTGTGTCTTATAATTTTGAAAATCTACCTGCATACTTACCCATAACTGACGGAAATACATGTTTATAACTACATGCCTACAGCAGGTTTCGAACCCAACCACTCTTCCTTTCGATGCAACCACTCTACCTACTATAATACAATTCGAGTATTAAAAGTACTATTTGATTTATTTAAAGAAAAAGTGTTATCATTGTTATGGTGTTATTTGTTTATCCGGATAATATCTCACTTGCACTTTATACCTTTAATATATGTATGTATGTATAGGTACATACATTGAAGTTGCGCAACCTGGGTATTTTTATTTGATCGCTTATAACTTACGTAGTTTTGCATCGATTTTCTTCGATGATAGCTTATTTTTTTTGTAATACAACAGAGCTTAGGGAGAAAAAAAAATCGGTAATGATTGTCCGTTATCTTTGAATCTACAGGGCCTAGCAAAAAGTGTTGTATGCACAGTTTATAGAAAATTTTATTACCTTTTAAAAGCTTCAAACCGTTTTGGAATTGCTTAATTCGTTCTTAAGATATATATGATAAAGTGGACCCAATTTTTCTTTTTTTGCAAAAAACGGTAAATTGCAAATATCTCAAAAACGGTACCATAGAATTAAAAGTAACCTTGATTTTCGGAATCAGGGGGTGATTTTACATAAGAATTTCATAACGGCGTTTCTGGTAAAGAGAAAAAGTTGAAATTTGTGGTCCAGTGTAATTGTAAAGTGCAAGATTTAACACAACTAAACTACATTTACGTCAACTTATCTATCGAGATGATTTGATTGATGGAGGTTTGAAAACTGAATGCTTTGTGATGCTCTTCTTGTCGCTTGAAGACTGTAGCTGTTGGTGGTTGTTGCTGTAGATTTTGCAGTTGATGCTGATGCTGATGCTGCTGTTATTGTTGTTGCTGCTGATGTTACAGCTTATGCTGATGTTGCTGTTTTGTAGTTGCTGCAAAATGTTCGCAGTTGATATTTCGATTGTTTGCGGAGTAGTCTTTCACAGCAAGCAATTCGGCGATTTGTAGGAAGAACTGCAAAGCTTCTTGCTGTACATTAACTTCTCCCTGGTACATGAACTCAATTATTGAGGTGAGATCTTCGAAATCAACAAAATCATCATTTTTGCGGTGATATGTTGCTGTTGCTGTTCTATGTTTCCAATCCGCAGCTCCTGGCAGGATCGCCAATTGTAGGTATTTAAAATGGTATTTATTTTAAATAAAAAAATAACAAAACTTATTTTATTTTCCGTTGTAAACAATTTGAGAAAAGTTTGAATAATAATGAAAATTTTCTGTTTGATTGACGAACCACAAAAATCACATAAATCCAAAATTTCCAAAATTACAAAGTTGAAATGAACACAGTACAATAAAAGGTAATAACACAAATACAAACCCTACAGTGGCTGTTATAAATACAATGTAAAATTTTTAAGAAAATACATAATATGATTTTGTTAATTTCTTCCTTTTAACCACTTTTCTTTCGAATTGGGTTTTCTATAAAATTAAAGCGTAGCAAAAAAAAATTCATCTGATAATACGATGATTGTACCCAAAATCTAG